TAGAGGTGGACATCTCAGTGGTTGCCGACTACGAAGATTGGCTTCATGGAGACGATTCTTCACAGTACTACTGCTAATTGTTACATTATGTGCAAGCTGTAATTCATTAACCAGCTCGGGTGCTGTGATTGTTGGCTGCTTTCTGGTATTTAAAATTAAATATCGGTTTTGAGCGACAGTTGTAGAGCGACCACGTCCTGGATGTTGCTCGGCTGGACTCCCAGGGTCTCTAAACCGACACCACAAACGACTTACGATGCTTTGGTAGACACCCAACTGGTCAGCAACTTGAGTTTGTTGCATACCAGCTTCAAGGAGGCCCACGGCTCTATTTATCTCGTCCAACGTTAAATGTTGTCATTGCATGGTAAAAAGATAATATCTTTAACTCACTTATTAAGCAAGAATGACATAAAGTGACTAAAATATAAAATAAACAAGACATAAAAATCTCAATTTTTTTAACCCTTAAAAAACATTCTAAAACACGTATTGCTATCAGTTTTACAATTTTTTTTTTTTGATAAGAAGTGAGTGTCTGTATCAACAATTATAGTACAAGCAAAGTTATATGGTCATGAAATTTCTGTCATTGGTATTGTCAAATTTTTAAAATATCCTTAGACTTTTGCGTTGTGTGTGAATAGGTGTTTGGCATCGGAATTTATAAATCCATGAGAGTTTGCCTAACTATTTCGTAGAATCGTGGTTTCACATTTCTTTTTTCAGTACATGAGATTTTAAAACACCAATTACAAAAAGTAGTAAATCAAGTCAGAAGGAAGATGATAATATTGGGTGATTTTAACGCTCGAATAGGCAACCAAATAATACCCGGAATTAAGCAAAACCATAAGGATGACCATAAGGATGTCAAAAACGAAAATAGAAAACTAATGATAAACTTCTGCACGAATAACAAACTAAGAATAAACGGCACATTTTTTACCACAAAGACCAACACTAATATACATTTAATGACACCCGTGGACCAAGATAGATGATTATGATAGATGTTATAACCAAGAGATATATCCATCGAAAATAATCGACGTAAGATGCCTAAACGCAATGATGTAATAGGGATTCTTTGGCTGGCAGATGCATATACTATGGAACCGTTATCTATTTAAATCTAATGAGGGGTTTTATAAAAATAAATTAAGCAGTAATAGTCCGCTCTATAGATTGATTCCACTTTCACATGGTTTTAATGATCATTCTTGTGGTCTCACAAAGGTACTTGTTTAGTCTTGCTATCTTTTTACATTTGTACTGATTGAACACCAAAACATGTGCTTGTAACAGTTAAAACTTTATTTGAGGGTATACAAGGCAACTATCGAACACGGTGATTAATTTAATCTTGCCCAAGTACTTTCAATCAATAGATCATCTTCAGGGGCATTTCGTCAATTGTGGACTATCCGACATAGTAGAATGTCGGATAGGCCACAATTGACGAAATGCCCCTGAAGATGATCTATTGATTGAAAGTACTTGGGCAAGATTAAATTAATCACCGTGTTCGATAGTTGCCTTGTATACCCTCAAAGTTTAATTATTCGAACATTCAACCTTATATTAAAACTTTATTGTCCCTCTAACAAATGTATTGAATACTAGTTTCCCTATTCAATATCGTACAATATTCTCGTTGTGCCCTCTTCTTCACGCCTTTTTGGAAACAATTTCTAGGAATTCTATTATCCCTCACAGCACCACTAACCTCGTACCAATTAACTTTTAGAGTACTTAACAAGTTTGTACTGGTAAATAAATTATCAACGAAAAAAAATCTCAGAAATCCTTTGTCACTCAATTCTTCGATCATCTGTACCACGGAAGATGTAGCTTATCCAAAATATTTTTGATTTTTTTCATTAGATCTAGGTTTTTTCTATGATATACTTCAAAGCTTATCAAACATCCACTAGGTGTATTCATACACCACACCTTATAGGCAAATCTTCAGGTTTTCCTCTTATGAACTGTTTGCGTCCATGGTGCCTAAAGTAGCGTATCGTCGATTCATCGTAAGCTATATTTTTCTCTGGTACACAATGCTCTAAGAACCATTTTTTAACATATGTGCAAATCGTTATCATAACTTGTTTCTAGGTCTGATGGTACATCTCCTAGACGTTCAAAGTCTGCAAATGGAACTTCCGCACCTGAATGAAGTTGACGAGCATTCTAGTTATCTGGGTAACCACCTCCGCCTTCGTCACCTAAATCCTCATCCGTGAGAAAATTTGATTCAGGCATTTTATTAAAAATGTTTGTTACATCATCTTCTTCATATGCCAAATCTAAAGCTTCTTTGTAGTGTCAGTCCACCAAAATTATAAAAATATAAGTTTTGAAAACATAACTGCCTAATGGGTCCAGATGGGTACATCAATATTTAGATGAATTTACATGAATTCTTTTTATGACATCTGTCCAACTCGTTGGGGGTCGACCTCTATTTCTGTTAGCTTGTATTCGGGGTCTTTATTCCAAAATTATTTTTGTCCACCGGTCATCAACTGATCTTGCTACATGACCTGCCCAGTTCCACTTTAGTGTTGTTATCCTTTCAATAACGTTTGCTACTCCTGATCTTTTGCGTATAGTAGCATTGGGTATTCTATCACGTAGAGAAATCCCTAACGTTATTCTCTCCATTGCCCTTTTTGCAACTTGTAGTTTACTCACTGTTGTTCTTGTGATTGTTAGGGCTTTTGTGCCGTAGGTCATCACTGGCAAAATACACTGATTAAATACTTTTCTTTTCAGACACATTGGAATCTTAGGCCTTAAAATATCCTTCATCTTTCCAAATGCAGCCCAAGCGAGGTTTATTCTTCTTTTCAGCTCGATTGTTTGGTTGTCTCGACTTATTCTAATATCATGGCCCAGTATTTATAGGAATCAACTGGCTCTATATCTTTGTCTTCTACTGAGATGTTTTTGTTGTGGATTAAATTTGTCATAAATTGTGTTTTTGAAAAAAATTTTTCATCTACATTGATGCCATTTTCGTTCCAATCTATTGTTTTACAAGCGTATTCTAGCATAGTTGTAAATAATTTAGGAGACATGTTGCCTCCTTGTAGAACGCCTCTTTCCATACGAAAGGTGCCAGTATCTTCATTAAGTCTCACACAGGCTGTAGCATGCTGATAGATGTATCTGATGAGGGATATGTATCGGTGATCTACTCTACATTGTGTTGGAGCTTGGAGCATTTCACTTTGATTGACCATATCAAATGCTTTTTCAAAGTCGACAAAGACAAGTATCAGGGGGCCATTTCAATGGTTTTTTTAATCAACGACTTAATGTTCCGTATCCAGCTCTAAATCCTGCTTGCTCGCAAGGTTGATAGAAATCTAGTTTTGATGTCAACCTATTAGTTATTATCTTTATAAACAACTTATAAACGTGAGATAACAAGCTAATATGTCTATAGTTCTTTAGCTCTCTTATATCTTCCGTTTTGTGTATGACAACTATAACACATTCTGACTTTTCTCAACTTGGTGCCGTCTTTCTTACCCTTTCTCTATATAATTCTGTGTAAAATTCTTCAACTACCTTAATTATCTTATCTTTATCTGTTACCACTTTTCCATTTCGATCTGCGAGCTTAACAATATTCTTCTTACCTAGAGCTTGACATCTCTTCAGCACATTTAAACTTTTATTCTCCTCGACAACCATTGTAATCTTTTTTGTATTATATTGTCGTACGTCCTTTCTTACTGCTTTATTAATATCTTTATTGAGTTGTTGTAGTACGCGTGCATTCGTATCGTTTTTGTTCTTAAGGTCTCTTCGTGTCTCCATAATTCTTTTTGTCTCTTGACTGATTTTTTCCTCCTTATCTCTCCTAGGATTTGAATTGCACTTTTTCTCTGCGTTCTTAATAGCTTTTATTAAGTTATAATTTAAGGTTTCAACATCCATAACGTCTATATTTGTTTTCTCTAGACATTTCAGAATTTTCTTTTTGGAAGGAGATGGTGTTTTCGATTGGATTTCATCCTATTGGGTGTGTTTTTGTTATCATTTTTTATCTTTTTTTTGGAGATTTAGCACGATCTTCGCTCTTACCATTCTATGATCACTTCCCACTGAACAGCTATTAAGAACTGTTACATCATGGACCATGTCTTTGTTGTTGGTTAAGACAAAATCAATTTCATTTTTGGTGACTCCATCTGGACTTGCCCAGATCCATTTTCTTTGGAGAGTTTTTTTGAAAAAGCTATTCATTGCAAGTGGCCATTTTCTACGAAGAAACTCAAAAACATTTCGCCTCTTTCATTTCTTTGTCCGAATCCGTAGGGACCTATTGCAACTTCGGTCCCGTCCAGTTTACATCCCAACTTAGCATTAAAGTCACCCATTACTAGGTTGTGTGTAGTAGGCGCCAGTTTTACTGCATTTTCTAGGCCTTCATAAAAGGTTTCCACTTCCTCGTCCGACTGTATAGATGTAGGTGTATAGAAATGAATTATTTTAAGGCTGGTTTTTTTGTTAAGCTTCAGTATGCCGAGTATTATTCTTGGGTTGATACCTTTAAGTTGTTAAAGGTATCAACCCAAGATATTTACTGAATATTTGAATCTCATACTCATATTTGAATTTACTGAACTGTTTCGTCAGTTTTTTTTTTAACTTTGTACATTTAAATTTTAATGGACGCTTGGATGTATATGAAGGAATTTTGAATAAGAGTTGTATAAATGCTTAAAGTATATTTATTTGTAACATTTATAACATCTTTAGTTCCTTGAATGTTTTCAAATACCCTTGAAGGTTATTTGTTTTTCGGAATAGAATATTTCCTTAACTGGTTGCATTAGGATTTCTACAGGCATTGTCGATGTTTTATTTTTATTGTTTTTGTTTCTAGGTTGGCTTTAAATAAAGTAGAATATTTCTAATATTTTTTTTACGTTTTATTACATTTATATATAATGCAAAGTAATAGGTCCTTTTTATTGCAGACAACTTTTTCAAATGAAACCGTTAGAACAGCATCTGCTAGTGTTCTCTAATCCAACTAGTAGATGAGCCATTGTCACCATGCATACCACAGCACCACCTGAACCTTCTGAAAAACTCTTCTATCATCCCAGTCTCATAGACGAGCTGGAAGAGCTACGAAGTCTCTACGATGAGCCGAAGTTCAAAATAGCTAACGAACCGCAACTCTATCGAAATGGCCAAAATTTCTTGTCGACGCCTAGTGCTCCCAACCTCAATAGGATACACACCTACTCTAGCCTTACTAAACTGTCGCACGCGCCCAGCCTTGGAAGGGTTTCTACAGCCAACAGCTCGTTGTACTATGCACCTGGGTCGGTCAGGCAAGAAAGTGTTCGGTATGTATATTTCATTTATTTAAAAAGTATAAGAACTAACTTTTCGTGGGTGAAAAATATATAATGTTAAGAAGTCAGGTTTGTTTATTGGCTACTATCGATATGACTCCTTGTTGTCTCATTTTAGTTAATGGTTTCCTTTATCTTTATATTAATCTTTATAAAAAAATAACCTGCTTTTCTGATATTTCTTGTTGCTTTTCATTATAGTGATCCTGTTTTTATTTATCGCTCTTGCCCATTATACTGTGATTTTCTTCTTCTGAAGAAAAAAGGTATACGATCGCCATAAGAGAGATAGCCTTGATGTTCTTTGATCAAGATTATTTGAAGAAATATTTTTTTTTATATTTTAGGTAATCATACAATATTTATGATAGATTATATATCATCGCAAAATCAAAGTTACATATCGACAATTGTCACTATCTTAGACATCATCTTATCAGTTTCGTTAAAAATCAATTTGTAAGAAATTAGACCAAGTTTACACATCATATCATTATCTAGGTGTTTGATAAGAACGGATTATATCAAGCTATTTAAATAAACAAATTGTGATTGTCTTTAGTTTTAAATAAGATGTTGAACAAACAATCTCTGTTTGTTATTTGATTACTACGGTTGTGTAAAAGAATGTGCATTTACCAAGCCATAGGTAAGTCTTTTTGTCTGTGATTATATATATATATATATATATATATATATATATATATATATATATATATATATATATAAATTTAGCAAACTAAAAAATTTTATTTATTATAACTATGTTTTTTATCTCAGGTTCTTATTTGGGTTCAGAAGTACCTTTACCTTTTATAGTGTTTAATAGCTAGAGGAGTAGAAGGGAATAAATAAGATAATTCAAATTTGTACAATACAATTAAAATATAGTGATAAAATACCTTTGAAAATTTTCATACAAATAAACAGATCCCTTAGAAATAAATGGGATTTGGGATTCCCCAAATGATATAGCTGTTACACATAAAATTAACACAAGAAAATCATAGAAGTTTGGTTCAATCAATTGTCTCATCTCAACAATTTGCCTCTATAGTTTACTAAAACGATTATCTTTAATTAGCTCCCTAGCGAAAATTTCTTCCCTGGGTTTGCTTATAAAAACAGTACTGTCGATAAAAAACATCTGACAACCGTTTCTATCTCCTTTTGGCTGCCAATCTCCCTTTAGCTATGAATCTCTCGAGAAATAGTAATTGTTATACAAAAATTTCTTACAAACTACAAATTCTGAAAACTTTTATACTGCTAATTCTCCAACGCAGGATTCAAATAGTAGCACTTTTCTCACTTTAATTTACATGATTTCTCACAAATTAAAATTTTCTTTCTCCGGTAAAAAAACTACTGGCTATATATTTCTTCTCCTGGATTCGATGTTCTCTCACTTGAAGTCAAATAGCAGATCCTCATCCTTTTGGCTGTTAACTAAACTGTGACTTTTAGCGGTTTCAGATGGATGTGAAATGCTTAGTTCCGTATGCCTTTTTTCAAACATCTTATTGGCAATTTCTTCTCTGAAATTAGTGATTCTGATGATTTTTCCAGTCAAGGATTGATAGGTGATATGTGCATTTATTATTGCAGTGTTTGTTAGAAGGTCTACTGCAACCTTCCTGTACCATTTTATATTTTGACGTACTGTAGTCGAATAAGATACCTTTTGATCAGAAACATCTATAAATGATTTATAGTTATTATACTTTGCAATAGTTAATGGCTTTTCGACGACTCCGTTTTTTTTGTGGCAACATTTATATTTAGGAACTGCTTCAGTTGTTATAAATAAGCCTTCCCGTTTATCTCTCCATTTTCCTACTACAACATGGGTATTACTCTCGCGTGCAATTATATTTTCTTCTGAAAGTTTTGCTGTGGTAACTCTGGGCCTTCTTCAAGAGTCACAACCTCTCTCTTGATACAAAAGTCAGAATGCTACAATGCTACGTCTTGTCTGTTCTTTTTTATGATGTTGAATCGTGGACCTTGAATGAAGATATGTGCAGAAAACTGGAAGCATTTGAGATATGGCCATATCGGAGAATACTTAAGATCCCGTGAACTGATGGAGTCACAAATGAGGGGGTCCTCAGAAGAATGAATAAGAGCCGAGAGGTACTGACGACTATCAAATCTCGAAAGTTACAATTCTTCCGAAATATTATGCGAAATGAATCCAGATATGCTCTCCTTCAAGCCAGCCAGCAAGGAAAAATACTTGGAAAGCGAGGTTCACGAAGAAGAAGAGCATCTTTGTTAAAGAACCTCAGAATTTGGTTCAATACAACATCTGTGCAGCTTTTCTGCGCTGCTGCAGATAAGATAAAGATTGCCATGATGATCGCCAACATTCATAACGGATAGACACATCAAGAAAAAGAACTGGTTTAGGATTGAATTTTCGATTTTTTCTTAGAGATCCTATCAGATGAGTTGTTCGATTCAATGTTTATGTCCTAGACTAACGCTAGTATAAGAATTATCCGTAAACAATATATGTCCACAATCTAAGAGTCGTTCCATAAGTTCAAAAACTGCACGACTAGCAACTGAATGATCAGTAGCAGTGCGTTCTTTACCAGAATAACATTTTCAAGTCATAAGAATAACCTTTTTTGCCACATAGCTATGCTCTCTTATTCTCGCATGCATATCCGACTTAGCGTCCACACTTCTGCACTATACAAAAGTACAGACCAACATAACATTTAACCATTCTTTGCCTTAGTTCTAAACTGAGATGGTTATTGCAAAGAAATGACTTCATTGTCATCAAAGTAGTTTTAGTCATTGCTATTCTACTGTTTTATTTCTATGTCTGGATCTAGTTGATCTGTTATCGCAGTTCCAAATATGTCATTTGTGAACTTTCTTACTTGGACTCCGTTCAATTGAAGCTTTGCATCGGGATGTGGGTCACGACAAACACTAAAAATTTGGTTTTGTTTGAGTTTATTTTAATGCCCATTTTCTCTCCTACTTCGTGAATACGATCAAGCAGAATTGAAGACCGTTCAATATTATCTGATAGTATTACTGTATCGTCTGCATATCTAATCACATTAAGTAGTTCCCCGTTGATTTTATCCATATGGTTGTCTCTTAAGTGCCTTAAAAGACATTAAAAAGCTTAATGTCAATATTTATGCTGCTTTCCCGGAATATATTGTCGAAAACTAAGTTAACCTCTAAATGGATTCATCGACTCGTCAATACAAACTTGCCGTCCTGGAGTATATGCAGCTTGAAATTTTGAAGTAAGCTTATCTGTTAAGTGCGGAATTTTACCCAAAAGTTTATTAGGATCTGTTATATTGTTATCTGTCCCTTATATAAATATAAAAATGCCGCTTAAGTGTAGGTTTTCTATCTAATCCCATTTATATCAACATTGCAATAAATGTTAGAATTTGACTCATCGGTATTTTTTAGTAAGCTAGCAAAGAACTGTCTTTTATTGTCTCATTTACTATGCCAAATATTATTTTTTGTTCTGCATTACGGTTTGTTTCATGCACAATGAGAGGTATAACGTCTACTATGAAAGTAATAAAAGTCAATAGGTTCATCAACATCTCTATTTTTAAAAACGACATGGAAAATCCATTGTCCTCGTTAAATTTAAAATCTTGTAAAGTTCCTAAAAGACACAGTTGTTATAGTCATAATACTTATTTGCAATTTATATTTTACTTTCTTACCTACACAATCGCCCCAAATAACATTGATTTCCTGTTGTCTTTTTTCATCTAAGTCACTTTTTTCCGAACTATCTCCGGAAACATTTTCAGTTAACCATTTGAAATGACATTAGTAGCTCTGGTGTCTTCATTTACTTGAGAACTTACTTGTACTCTATGTCTTTTTGGAATTGTACTTACATCAGAATCACTTAAGGATGAAAATAAATCGCTATACTTTGTATCACTTTTTGAGTCATCAACGTCAGACTCATACTCAATTTCGCTCAATTTGTCTATTATTTGTTGCAGCTCAACTTCACTTTAACCTCTAGAATTCATTTTGTATTAAAACACACTCCTATCTGTGTAACGACCCTAGTTGACACTGACTTATCGTGACTGATACACAATAAGTAATACTAAATTTTGTACATTGTGGCGTCATCTATAATTCTATAGTTAAACTAGGTGGACAGCTTTTAGTTACAGCCTAAAGCATTTGAACTACACCTATATTTTGATGGAAAGTATGACCGTCTAATGTACACATCAGCGGCGGCCAGCCAGGTGAAGTAGGTGAAGGTGTGGTTCACCAAAAAATATATAAATTAATTGAGACAAATAAATAAAAAATGAAAGCAACATTATTATATCTAAATTTTGAAATCAATTATTTATTCTCTTTTAATTAATCTAAAAATTAAAAAAGACAACCAGCTTTATTAGCGGTAGGTACTTGACGGTCAAGTCCTGACCTGTGTCACTAGCCGTGTAGGATTCAGGAATAGGTGAATATCATTTTTGAAATGCGAAATCCATCTGCATAAGCGTTCATGTGACGTCAGCCTATCCTTAGTGATAGCTGAGAAAACTGGCGAGTGCAGTTCCATCTAAAAATCATTATCCGTCTTCACTACCACTGTTGGATGTGTATTTGGTATTCCTACTTTTCGGAAATTTCTCTCAGCGACAATATTTTGAAATTTAGTCTATTATATAGATATTTATATATAGTATAGTGTATAGTATATTATTTATTAGTTTAGTTTAGTCACAGTATTAATTTTATTTGTTTAGTGCACTTTATTAATACATTTCTGTGGTTTGTGGTTTGTTTCGGATTTCGGATATAAAGTGTTGTCGTGGATTTCGTTTGGACAAAAATAATTTTAGACAGACATGAATCCAATTAATGACTTGGTGTGTAATATATTAGAGACTCCGTTTAGGCATTGGAAAAATGAAGATAAAAGGATGTTCTTATACATGGTCAACCAACCAGTAGTT